CTTTTAACGCACATACCCATATAGATATCTATCTACGTAGTGAGTCTGCAAAAATTCAAGGTTACCGGCACGCAGCAGCCGTTTCAAGCATAGATTAGATTGTGTTGGAAGCTTGTACCACAATTCAAAGGCTTTTGTGAAGGTTACTTACCCTAAACGCTCTGTAGAAAGAATGTAGTAGCTTCCATGAACCCCATTCTGCACCACTGCACAGGTGTTCATGGGGGAGTATGGCGATCCGCACATGGCTAAAGATCCAGTACGATTGCAGAAAGACTTGGAGCGAGCACGCGCTCTAGTCGAGGACAAGGCCAACCCATTTGCTACTCAATGGCAAGTTTGCACTTTGGGATGGCTGGTTTGTGTTATTCCAGATTTTCGTTTCCATTGATATTCCGTAATACATAAGAGCCTTCTGTATCCCTTAGGTGGACCCTCCACCCAGTAATAGTGACTATAAGGCATACAAGTGAGTTTTTAAGGGTCCTCTTCTAAATATTCCTATCATATCACTATTACAGGGTGGGGGGTCTACCTTATGTATCCCAGTATAACCCTAGAAGAATATCCCTCGTTTGTTCCTTGCTCAGTAAACCCTAAACCCTAAACCTAAACCCTAAACCCTAAACCTAAACCCTAAACCTAAACCCTAAACCCTGAACCCTAAACCCTAAACGTCTTGACAGCTGTCAACTTTGCGTTGCTGCCACCCTCAGACTGCGAGCACAGTAGTTGCTTCGGTTCCTGCTGCTTATGAGTGCAACAAAGGTTGGGTAGGTGTTAAGGAACTTAAGCTGGGCTCTTGTAGAACAAAAATTTACATTTTTATGGATACCCGGGCCCAACATCAATTAAAGCAAGATCTTTTTTAATTGTATTTCAGCAAGAACCCAGTAAATAACGTTACCAAGCTTGGGAAGCTCCATGGTTTACTATGTGAGCCATAGTCTTAACTCCTAGCATCCCCCCTAATAACCCCTATAGCAGTCCCCTATATAACCCCCTTTAAGGAGTTTAGACTATAGCTCATATAATCTTTTTGTGATCCCTATATAACCCCAATAGAACCCCAATATAACCCTATTATAACCCTAATATAACCTATTCTGGAAACTTAGTTTGACTTCCTTATAACAGCAACCCAGCAAAGGTCGGCTTCAACTTCTTCGAATTCCAGGTACCTACAGGGTCGGGCCTTTGTGGCTATAGCCCCCCTTAAGTAGATAGATTATGGAATATTTAGGGATCTTATTATAATATACCCAAGAGCCATATTCTATCTACTTAAGGGGGACTATAAACCCTAAACCCCACACCCTGAACCCTAAACAGTATAGTTTCCATTTTCTTTTCCATTATCCCAATAGAACCCCTATATTCCATCTACTTAAAGGGGACCAGAACTGTGCTCCATGAAGCTGAACTTTTTTTGAGTGGCAGACAGCTGCTGCGATCTTTTACCCACATTCTGCCCCTAGGAGTTGACTACTACAAAGCCCTACCTTTGGCTAGTGAAGCTTGAGCAATCATAGGTGCAAGCTACTATTATATTTATTGCTGTTGGTACTATTCCTTTGCTTTTATTGTTATTATTATTGCTTTTACTGTTGATACTATTATAACTGTTATTGGTATTTTTGTATATAGTCCCCCTTAAGTAGATAGAATATGAGGTATATAGGGACATTATTTTCTCTACCCAAAGCCATATTCTATCTACCTAAGGGGGACTGGATACTGATTAAAACCATCCCTGTAACGTGAAGCTCAACGCCAGGTCGCCTTCTGGAAGCCTTGCCAGAACACTGCAGGCTCCTTGGCAAGGAAATTGATGGTACCTTTAGGGTTTAGGGGTTTAGGGTTTAGGGGTTTAGGGGTAAGGGTTTGGGATTTAGGGTTTAGGGTTTAGGGGTAAGGGTTTAGGATTTAGGTTTTGGGATTTAGGGTTCAAGGTTTAGGGTTCAGGCCCCTACTCCTTAACAGCTGGCTAATGTCTCTAATGTAGTTATAAAGACATATATATATATATAGTGTTTCATATTACCCCTCTTCTGAAACTGTTGATGGTGCAGGCAGGACCCATGGTACCTTCTTTCCCCCCGACTTCCTGCATGGTAGTTTCGCGAAGTAGGGGGACCCTAATATAAACCCCCCAATACTGCAATTCTTATTATAGGGGCCCCTGAAAAGGCACCGCAACTTTTGTGAAATCCACCACATCATGATTTTTGTCTTCTTGTGGCATACTATCCCCTTTTCAGCACATTACGATGCATGATCCAAACCCTAAACCACGTGTGATCCTTTAGCAAATGAGGCTGGGACAGCTGGGAAGCGGCTGCCTGGGGCGATCCCATCCATGCTCCGAACCCTCCAAAAGACTGCATGGAAAGGCTGGGGACTTGGGTTGGGCCCCCAACCAACTAATAGTGGGTTGAGGGTTTAGGGCTTAGGGTTTGGAATATATACGGACCTTAATATAATTCCCATTGCCTCTTTTGGTCCCTATTACTCGGTGGGGGCCCAACCTAATTGGCCACCCATATGTTCCACGTAGAGCACTAATGCATGGCCGCTCTGCAGCTGCGGCTGATCTGACGGATTGTGCATGTACTCTGCTGCCATAACATATTACGTTACATTATAGTATACTACTACATGCCAGAATATGCTATGAAGTACTATAGTATACCATAATATCTTATACAGGAGTTCTGCTTCTTGAGGCTGTTCGGCATCTTTTCCTTGGGAGACATTCCTGCGCCTTGGCTGTAATCATGAGACTGGTGCTGGTGGGGGTGGTGGGGGTGGTGGGGGTGGTGGGGGTGGGGTGGGGGTGGGGCTGGGGAGGGGTGGGGCGGTCGCGGTGGCGGCGGCGGTGCCGGTGGCGTGAAGATAGCACGGCTCAGCACAAGCGCGGCCTGCAGTGGAAGCAGCCGCAGAGCCTTGTTGTCAACACAGTCTCTGGCATGTTTTTCGCACTGTTGATGTTGTTTTGGCCGGTCGTTTGCTGTTGTTGTGGCGGGCCATTTCAGCTGCAAGTACCATCAAGGGAAAATCGATGCGAGGTTAGCATGACCGGCGGCATTGACTACAACAACAAAAATGTCTACCCCGTCGAGTGTGTCAAGCCGATCTTTCGTGGGAAGCCCGAGGACAGCCTCCAAACAATAGAGTGAAGGTTTAGGGGTCACCGCTGGGCATGTATGTCTTGCCTCTGCGACTTCAACCTATGCGCATGCAAAGAACAGCTGGTAATGATAATTGAGATCGTGTTAGAATATCTCGAAGTGAAGGATGTCTTTCAAGGTATGAAACAATTCCGGTCCCAGCGGTTGCCTTCGCCACTGCAGTGAGGCAGTTGCTGCCGCCTACGGCGGCTCCGCTCCAGACACGCAAGTCTGCGAAGCGGGTTGGCAGGCGAAGCCAACACAGCAACAGCGGTTGCGTTATGAGCTGTTCAGAGGTGTTGGGCTTCAGGAGGGCGTGAGGGAATCCTTTTGCCTTGGGCAGCCCAAGAGCTGGTTCAAGAGTAGCGTGGACGTGAAGTGCTTCAATGACTGTCCAAGGTACTGCGTGGCCTCTCGAGGACTGGGCTGCGGACATGGCTGTCTCTGATATCGGATGGTATCAGCACATAATGGTATATTGAAGTATCAGCAAACATGAGCATGCTGTGCTCGTCCGAGTCGGGGACTCTATTTCGACAGCCCATGGTTCGGGTATTGTTTTGCCAATTTTGGCCACTAAGAGCCCAATCATGCCCAATCCATCATCCCAAGAGGCATGCGGAACACCCACCTAAAATTATGCTGTAATGTCAAGATGCAATGCATCACATGCTCCATCCGCCAGGAGACATTGACCCTCTGAAAGCTGGGCTGACATGGGTATGCAGTGAGCTTGGCAGTATGGGCCGCTTGACCAAGGATGGTGTCCAAGAGTTCAAACCAATTGATATGATCCTTGCAGCAGTTGACAAAGTTAACTTGAGCCACAAGAAATCCAAACGCAGCTTTGATTCGGAGACCGACGAGATTCATTGCCTGAGCAAAGAATAAGAACGGTTACGTACCCTTGTCCGGGGGAGTCAAGATGCTGGCAGATGCTTAGCCCATAGAAGAGGGCTATAGTCTCCCTTAAGTAGATAGAATATGGCTTTGGGTATGTTATAATAAGATCCCAATATACCCCATTTTCTATTGCTGCTCTTGAAAGCCAAGGCCATGACTGCACAGAGGGTCGTCCTGCTGCATGCTGCTCTTCCTGCAGTTTATCCTGTGCTACAATACCATGATTAAGCCCTTGCGAAAACAGATTCCGCTTGCGAACATGCCAAATGCCAAGGTGCTGGAGATTTATACACTGAGAGTGACTGGGCCTTCTCCATGTTTTTCGAGCTCAAGAAGGCCGCGGCCTGTTCACTTTTCATTGCTGAAAGCCAGGTACGAACGAAATCTGAAAAAGGCAGCAGCAAATCACGGGCACGCACATGACCTTCCCAAGCCAAGAAACCTGTTCTTAGCTTGGTTGGCTTCAGTGCTCTAGCAGCATCACTTATGATTCAAACAGTTTGTCAATAGATTGCTTGATGATGGGCTGAGCTCTTGAGATGCTGGGGCCACCAGTTTCGAATCATCAAATTCATCAGTGCTGCCTCAGCGAAGGGGCCGGCAAGGGCCCATGCCGAAATACAATGGAAACTACCATATTACTTACATTGGGATAATGGAAAAGAAAATGGAAGCTACTATAGTATATTGGGGTTATCTTGGGATAATTTGTTTATTTAAGAGGCCCTGCGAGAAGAAATAGAAGGGAGGACGGTGGGGAAAGGAATCACCCTCCGAGCAGCCAGCTGATGTGAACAGTGGCAGACAACCGTTTCGAAAAGGGTGGCTCGTGCCTGGAAGTATCATCTAGAATTGCACGATGGCATCAGGTGATGGGGCCCATGCCGCAGACCTGCACTAGTAAGTGGTTTGCAAACCGCAGGCAGACGGAGCTGCCGAAGACGTATGCAACTTTGGTGGTGTCGGCATCGTGACGGCAATCCCTGCATCTCGGATGTATTCGTATACTGGCCAAGCTTGGCCGCAAGCCAGGCAAAGATGTTCCACAAGGTCTTGCAGCATAGTTTATTATCAGGCTCCAAACCGACCTGCGAGAACAGCTGCCTAAATTATTATTATTAGTAGTAGTAGTAGTAGCAGTGGTAGTAGTAGTAGTAGTAGTAGTAGTAGTTTAATAAGATTTTCCACGCAGACCTCCTGCCTTGGTAGGTTTTTAGCCCTCAGTCAAGATGCCATGCAAAAGAGATGGCAAGCGCCAGGGCCGGCGAGACTGCATGGCTGTGAAGACCACGGCTTCAACTGCAGCAACTGGATTGCCATATTGGGGGTGGGTTTGGGGTTCAGGAACTTAATTTGGGCTGTATTATCCGCCTATAATGGGAAATAAAACGGAAAAGACAATAGAACATGAAATGGAAACTGGGGAGAACACGGGAACTTCATTCAAGTTACTATATTGGGGAAATTAATGGAATTAATATATATATATACGCATTATGGTAACCTGATTTGGGTTCCTTATCAGCAACCCAGGCAAGCACGACGTCTACATCAATGGCCGCTCCTGCAACAAGTACTTCAGCCACACCAGGCCGCTTGTCCAAAATGTTGGGCGCAAAGCAGTGGACAATACTCGCATGAACAGGGGCAGGCGAAACAGGTGAAACAGCGCAGCACCAGGATGAATGCCGCTGCAGCAATCAAGCGATGATGGCGCTAATGATGACTACATCCTGCCATAATGGTACGTAGGAAGCTGTTCTGCAGGACATTCGGCACACCGCGGCCTTGGAGATTGGCTTTGGTGGCCTTGGCTACAATCCCCCATGGTACCCAATATAGAGTAAGATTCTATCCTCCTTTTGGGGTATACTATTTTATATAAGGAATAGAATCTTACTGGGTTTAACCACCAAAAAAACACGACTCAGATGGCCCCACGTCATCCTGCAAGGCAGAAGGTGCTTCCAAGCCCCGCATGGGACAGGCGAAAACTCACAAGTGGACGGAATTTCTTGCATTGGGATTATATTGGGGTAATATTAGGGTTAGAACAGGGTTATATTGGGGTTATATTGGGGTAATATTTGGGTTATATTGGGTTTAGGGTTTAGGGTCTGGGTTGGGGGGTATAGTGTTAATATTACTACTATGGAGCCTCTGCACCCCCAACAGGTCTTTAATGTGGCAGGTCCAGGACTTCAGGTAATATTTGGGAGCGCGCTTCCCGAGCACTACCAAACTACATGCTACCCAAGAACTTGTTGTCTGGGTAGGCCCCCGGGATATTGAATATTTTCCCTAATGGCTTTAATAAGGGACCCTATATACCAATATTTTTCAATGGGTTTTAGGGGCCAATCTAGATTGCCATATTAACAATATTCATAACAGTAACAATAGCAATAGTAATAGTAGTAATATTAACACTATACCCCCCAACCCGGACCCTAAACCCTAAACCCAATATAACCCAAATATTACCCCAATATAACCCCAATATAGCCCTGTTTTAACCCTAATACTACCCCAAAATTACCCCAATGGGTCCTATTTTTTGAGGTGGATCTTGGCTGGCGCAGCGCTGCTGCTCGGCGGCGTCCTTCTCGCCTGCACCCGGGCCCGGCTGCTCAAGTGAGTAGTATTTTATTTGGGTTTAGGGGTTTGGGGTTTAGGGTTTTTTTTCAGGGATTAGGGTTCAGGGTTTAGGGTTGGGGTCATATAGGGATGATGGAAAAGAAAATGGAAACCATAGGGATTATAGGGTTATATTGTATTTTATTTGGGGATATTATGGTACCCAATACAGAGTAAGATGCCATCCTCCTTTTGGGGTATAGTTTCTTATATAAGGAATATTACCTTACTAGGTTCAACCACAAAAAAAACACTACTCAAGTGGGAAGGGAGCAAGGGACTGGACCTGCTTGCGTAGCAAATGCGTGCAAGGCACATCTGGCTGTGAATCAAAACGCTGGGTTTGTAAGAGGCTTGGGCGGCCATTCCGCGACATAGGCTTGTAACACAAGTTCTTAGCTTGCGACGGGCACCTTTGCGACAACTTGTTTTGTGGGGCATGCCCCTACCAAGCATTTGCGACAAAGGTATGTCACAATAGGACGCGACAAATGGGTATGCAACAATGGGTGGGGTCGCGGGCGAGAACAGCGACAAAACGGGCCTCTGATCCACGGCCGTCAAGGAAAGCAAGAAAGCATGTACGGTGCCTACTTTTAGATATATGGAGGGCGGCCAAAGGCTGGTGCTCACAGAGGTAGTATAAAAGATCTGTTTAAATCCGGATGTTTAAAAGTTTTGGGCCAGCTCTGAAATAGTCGACCTCCCAGCCCTCCGCCCTCCAGCTCCAGCCCTCCAACCCTCCAGCCCTCCAACCCTCCAGCCCTCCAGCCCTCCAGCCCCTCCAGCCCCTCCAGCCCCTCCACGCACTTAGCGGAGGTCTGTGGAATGAGTTTACCTTACCGCCCGATGGGGCGACAGCTTGCAGGCGGAGGACGTGGTCATCGGAGGCGCGATCAGTGGAGGTCTTGGGACCGCTTCAGCTTTAGTGAAGTAAGAACCTCACCGCCTCTTTGGGCCTTCCCGTCGTTCGCTCGGAGGTGGGCGTGGTCAGGGGAGGCGCACTCTGCGGAGGTCTGTGGTCGCACCTGGTTCCATGGTCCTTTTGCTACCCTTGTTGGGCGGCGGTGGAAAGGTGTTCGCCAGTGGAGGGGTGCTGCCGAAATCGGGGCACTTACGGCTCGCAACCTCTCCAGCCCCTCCAGCCTCCAGCCCCTCCAGCCCCTCAGCCCCTCCAGCCCCTCCAGCCCCTCCAACCCCTTCAGCCACACAGCCCTCCAGCCCCTCCATCAGCCCATCCTTAGGTTTTTTGTAGGATTGGGTTTAGGATCAATCCCTGACCCTGGCCTGAGCCCTGGAAATGAGTTTAGATGGAGGTTGGAATTTACGTATACTGGATTTCCCCTATCCCTAAA